AATCTGTTTACTCCAGATACTTTTTTTTTCCTTCCTTTCTTCCTTTTTCTGTGTCTGTTATGGCTGATTTCCACTTCTTCCCTCCTCTTGTGCCTCAGCAGGAAGGACAACAATTGGTGGCCTGGGAAATAAAAACCCCAAAGCCACTGRGTTGTGTTTGCACATCTGGAATTGGGGGTTGATTCTGCGCTGGGTTGAGGGGACAGGACTGATGGGGTGACAAACATTTGTCCTTTTGTTGTGACTGCCCAAGGAGGAGTTAAAATGTCCTGGAAATCTGGAAAGACTGGAGGGAAATCACTGTGTTCTGCCATGGAGTCAGATTTTGGCTGAGAATCGATATTTGGAGCAAGATTTGGACAGCTCAGGGGCTTCCAAGGATGTTGGRAAAACATGGAAGGAGCTGATCAGGGGGAAATCCTTTTTGTGCTTCACCTTCACATCCAACAGATCTTTGGGATCTGATATTTAATAAATCTTCTGAAGCCTTTTCACYCCAAGTTACAGCAGCTCTGGAAAGCCTTGGTGTGTAAATAAGGTTTTATTGTGGAAATATCAGAAACATCTCATAAAATAATCAGTAGGGGTTGGATGCTTCCAYGAAGGAACTTTCTGGTTCTAAAGTGTGATTTTTGAAGAGGTTTTGAACCAGATTTCCATCTGGCAGCTGCCTTGGCTGGTGCATTGGGAAACTTCAGCTCTGCATGTTAAAATACATTGAAAATGATGGTTCTCTTACAGGGTAGCAATAAGCACAAAAGTGACCTGGGGGTTGCTCTGGGAAGGTCTGTATTTATAATTTTTTCAGTTATTATTAGTCTGCAGTGCCTAACAAGGTTTCTGGTTCTGAGGTGACAAAATAATCTTGAATTTGTTTTTTCAATTCTTTGTTGACCATGAGTTTGTGGCAAAAGTGATCTGCGTTTGTCATGGTGAGAGCAGCACTTGGTCAGGGAAAGGAGAATTTTCATGAGAAAATGAGCCTGAGTTCCCTAATTCCACCTGGCAGAGGTGGGATTTGGGATTTGGAAATGCAGGAAGGATTCACTGGTAAGGCCTGATCTGTAGGGTGGGAATTTAGGGTGAATTTTAGGTGAAATCTAGGTGTTTTTGGGAAAGTTTGGGTTTGGGGTTTGGGAAACCTCTGGCCAAGTGGGAGTTAAAAACAGAACACAGACTGCAGTACCGATGGTCTTGGGCCTCATCCCCATTTCTTTCCCAAAATTTTAACAAAAATCAAAATATTACACAGCACCTTGTGCTGCTCCTCCCTGCCCCCTCTGTTATTTTAATACAGCAACTAAATATTTGTTATTAGCCTCCAACAGAGTTTAAATAAACCAGTGACAGGCTTTTCCTCAGAAATTTTTTCCAATCAACTATTTAAAAAAATTTCTTCTATTTTTGCAACTTTTAATGCAAAAAAAGAAAGTAGCCTATGAACACCCCCATGTAAAACTGACTCACGTTCTGGCTCAGGAGCCTCTTCCTTGCTGCGTGGACAATTTCCTACATTGCCCAAATCAAGCTTTAATGCTTTTTTTCTCACTTCTTATTTTGTTACTTTTTTTTTGGACAGCAAAATTTCTGGACATGACAGAAATCTGTTATTTTATTATAGTTGAGGATTGCAATCAACTATTTTGGGAACAGTGACTGCTAGGGAAAAAAAAATATAATTTGATTAATTTTAATTTGTCCTCCAGTCTTAAAAAATTATAGGTACTTTATCGACTGAGTAGGGTCAGGAAAAAGTACGAATATTTTGAGATGATTGTTGTTTTACAAGGTAGCAAAGATTAATTTCAGCTCAGCTCCTGTGAGGAAGAATGAGTGGAATTATGGAGATGTCAACCTTTGTGAACTGAAAAATGTCAAAGTGTAAGGAAGAGAATATTTTAGATGTTTAGTGAGAAAACGCTTTCCTTCACCTCCCTCCTCCAGCAAGTTGGTTTTTTGGCAAAAATAGGACCCAACATGTTTTGACTGAAATGGAAAAATTTCAGTCTGGTGAGAAGTTGTTGCGACACCTCCYGGGAGTTGCTGTTTGGAAACTCGGTGTCTCCAAGCTGTTCCCTCTCCAGTGGGATTCCCAGTTCCTGCTGTGTCCCACAGAACACCACAGCCCTCCCTTATGGGGTTGAGATTYTTGTATTCCCTGGGAAATGCAGTCTGGAAGGAATTTGGGACCGAACACCCGCTGTGCTCTGGTGCTTGGGATGAAAATATCACTGTTGTGTCATGGCAAGAAAGGAGCTGAGCTTCACCTTGGACATCAGRAGRRGTTTCTCCRTGGAAATGRTGGTCTGGAATGGGAATGGRCTKCCCAGGGAGTGRTGGAATTGCCATCCTTGGAGGTGTCCAGGGAATGATTGGATGTGGCACTCAGCACTCTGGGTTAGTTGACGAGGTGTTGGTCAAAGGTTGGACTCAWYCTTGRAGATCTCTTCTGGYMTTGATGAAWATAGTTTTTAATCAAGGGATAAARAAACTTGATCAGGTTGTTAATTTTTTCCTGCTCTCAGCTTTCCATTGCAAGAGGAAAATCTTGGTTTGGGTGTGAAGCATGTGGGTGGGGATGGTTCCTCAGAGCTCGGTGGTGTTTGCACAGTGGAGGTCTGACCTCAAGGAGTCCCTCTGAGAATTCATGGGAAGAAATCCCCCCGGAGATCTCATYCCATGATCCAAAGAGACATCCTTTGAAAAAGTTGCAGAGACCATGATCATAGAATTACTGAGGCTGGAAAACACSTCTAGGATGTGTCCAAAGATTTCCCCATAATGGGAAAATCTACCACTAAAAAATGTCTGTAAGTGTCACATGGTGTGGCTCCTCCTCCTCCACCACAGCTCTCAGATGGAGCTTTTTCCACTGGCAAACAGAATGAGGCTCTGTCATTTTTTGGGGATGGGATGTTGGTTGTGTGGGGTTGACAAAGATGGACCCAACCAATCCATGCAGCCTTTCCTCAGGGAGCAGAGCTGAGGGCACATCCCGATGTCACCTCCCTGCAGATGGCTCCTGGGGAGCAAGGGAAGCAAGGGCAGGATACAGTTTAGGAATGTTGTGTTGGTTTCCATGAGGATCACGGTGTGAAGGTGCAGCAGGAGCAGAGAGCCCAAAACCATGGCCTGGGGAGGCTGGGAGATCCCTCAGAGCTCAGATTTGAGGCTCATCCCTGAGGTTTGATGGGCGTAGCTCTTGGCTTTCCCAAGAAGCCACCAAAGCTGAGATCCTCGAACCACAGCCCCTTCAGTGGCCACGTTCACATGACCMCCYRGGAGGGGGAAATCCCGGAGCAGGGAGCAGCTCTGACCTTTTCTCTTGGTGCAGTGGTRGATCTGGCCGTGCTCCTGGGAGATGGGGAAGGGGTTRGCMGGAGGCAGCAGGTCCTGGGAGGTGCTGGACACCCCRTTYTYRCACTGGTACTGGGRGCCCAGGTTGGAGGAGGCAGACAGGACCCTGCTGAGATCCTGGGTGGAATTCAAGGGTTGGATGTCCTCTGAATCCCACCATGCATCCTGGATGGAATATCCAAGGGACAAACCTCTGTTTCCTCCCAGCCCATCCCTCCTTTATTCCTCACGCACAGCCCGGGCTTCAGCTCTAGGGTACAACCCCACCTTTGGAACGGGCTTTCCTTGGCAAAACCCCAGTGCCCAGGGCTTGGAAAGCTTTCATGGCCCAACCAGAGCCACATTTCTTTGGGTTTGAGCTCCTGGGTGAATTTCCCTCCCATTCCAGCTTGGTTGCTGATGTTTCTGGCAGCAGCCACAGCAGTGGTTTGGATGAAAGCTCCCTGCTGGGGTAGGTTTATGAAACTGCTGTTGTTGAATCTTGTAAATAAGTTTGGAGTTGTATGGCAATAGGTCCTCCCCGAGGGGTGGGACTGGAGGTTCAGGGCTCCTCCTCTCCGTGGAATGGCCAGGTGAGACTGTGGATGGGATTTAAGGAGCTGTCCTTGCTCCAGGACAATTGTTTGGGACAGGTGAGGTACAGGAGGRTACCTCGAAGGCAGCTTGGTCTGATGGTTATTGCCTAAAAGGAGGAACCTTGGGTTGGAATCAGCACTTTGTGGATGCTCTGAGCCTGGTAACAATTTGGGGTGCTGTGCTACCTGATTTTTATGTATTTTAGGAAGTTTTTGGGTTCAGGAGGAGGCTTGTAGCTCACCTGAAGTGTCTGAGATCCCCACTCAGCTCCAGTTGTCCCTGTAGAGCAGGAATCACCTTTGGGGTCACCAAACTGCCGATGTTCTTGGAGAAAAGTCTCCAAAAATACCATAGGGTTTTGAGGGGAGGGGATTTCCAGTCAGTGTTGGAAAAGCATCCCAACTTCACATCTGGGAGCAAAGGAAACAATGCAGGCTTTCCTTTAGGGCTCAGCCTCCCAGCCTGGCCCTGCTGTGCATTACATCTCAGTGATTTATTTATTTATTCCTCTTTTCTGAGCTTGTTTTGTGGTGCAGGGATCCCCCATTCAGGACAAGCAGGCTGACAGACTCCAGGGAAAAGGAATGGGGACAACCACCATAAAGGGGAAGAAAAAAGTAGACCTAAATATTTCATTCATTTCCAAGTGAGCTTGGCRGAAATGAGGTTTTTATTTGTATGTGCACAACCACAAATCCATTATAAATAGTACACAGTTTACAAATGCTACAATATGTAAATAGWAATCTTGATTAGTTTGCTGAAACTGATAAAATAAATAGATGAAATGTATCTATTGTATGTATGGGTATGAAATAGTGGCAGTGGTGGAAAAGGCATGGATTTAAAGGGAATGGTACTAAAGAGAATGAGTGCTGCATGGATAAAGTGTGACGGGGCTGCAGCCTCCTGGGAGGGATGTCTGCATTTCCCTGAAAGCCTAAACAAACTCCACGACACTAATGYGCTGCCTTCACTCATTAATCCTCTGATCTATTTATTAATTGATTGCTTTGCTGACTTGTTCTCTTTGTTTGTTTTGTTTTGTTTCGTTTCTTTGCCCGCAGCAAAGAGTACCCGGTTGTTCCCAGGAGCACAGTGAGACAAAAAGTGTCCTCGAACCACAGCCCCTTCAGCGGCGAGAGCAGGGTCCTGTCTGCCTCCTCCAACCTGGGCTCCCAGTACCAGTGYRARAAYGGGGTGTCCAGCACCTCCCAGGACCTGCTGCCTCCTGCCAACCCCTACCCCATCTCCCAGGAGCACGGCCAGATCTACCACTGCACCAAGAGAAAAGGTCAGAGCTGCTCCCTGCTCCGGGATTTCCCCCTCCYAAYGTGACARTCAGCRTCATTTCCTGATGTTYCMCTTTGCCCTCARGTTGGGCAGYCCCAGGGATAAYAGCTTTGGTGGGCAGAAAAACATCAAAGTGAAAGAAAGAGAATATTTTAACTATTCAGTGAGAAAATACTTTCCTTTGTCTACCTCTTCCAGTAGTTGGCTTTTGGGCAAAAATAGCRCCCAACAAGTGATGCTGGAGGACGAGTGAGGAATGAGGGTTGTGGGCACCTCTCACCTAAAATGCCATCTCTGCCAGGCTGGGAATGAGCTGTTTGGAGGGCTGGTGCCTTTCACCCACGGTGAATCCACATTTGGAGAGATAACTGGTGCTGGAGATAAAGATGACTTATCTGCCGCCCCTCAGACAGGGTTAATCTCCCAGTGGAGATACCCTGACAGTTTGCATTTTGCCCTGTTTTCTGCCCAGGGCTGTCTCACAGTTGGCTGGGGGACAGTTTTCTATCTGCAGAAACGCTCCAGCTGATGCAGGGTGCCTGGGATTGAAACCCGTGATTTCTGTGTTCCTTCCCTTCTGCTGCCACTGAGCTGCTGTAGGGATCAAACTGTGATTCCCAGCGRCTGTTCCGCTCATCCTGGCCTGAAAAGCCTCCTGATAGCTCGGGATAATTGTTTTGGGCAGGAGCGAGCAGTTTGTGGTTTCTCCCTTCCTCTCCCAGAGCAACAGGAATGCTGAGACGCAGCACCACTTGTAGGACTGAGATAGCAAAAGGTTTAATYGGTTTTAATTTTACACGAGACATTTGGGGAAAAAAATGGGATTTACAGAGTTGGGAGCAACCAGGGGTGGTCAGGAGTTGGTCTCTGCCAATCCCATTCCCTCTCTCAGGAGTTAGTCCATGGAAAAGCTACCAGAAGGCAGCAAACACTGAGTGCACCAGGAATTTCTCCCCACAACAGATCCCTTCCCGCTTCCCTGCACAGTCCTATCAGTCAGACAGGTCATTATTTTTAGCAACATAACCCCTGGAGCCCTGGGATGTGCAGACACAAGGTAGGGGACGCTGGGAATTGTTGGCAGAGGAGGCAGGAGGGTACTGAAATCTCTCCTGTGCCCTTGGAGAATCCCCCAAACGTTGTAGGAATGCGTGTGCTGTGTACAGGTCTAAGTGCAAAGTGAAAAAAAAAGCTGAGAAATCCTAATATTTTCCTGGGAATGAGGCAAACAGTGAAAAACAATTTACCATGGCGTTTTTGGAGGGGTATTTTTGCCCYCTCCAGGTAACTGCGCACGTAGAATGTGTCAGAGCTGGGACTGGAAATGGGGATGAGCTGGCTGTGAGGCAGGGAATAAAGAGAAGGGAATCAGGAAAAAGGGAATAAGGAAAAAGGAAATCAGGAGACGGGAGTCAGGAGAAGGGAATCAGGAAAAGGGAATAAGGAAAAAGGAATCAGGAGAAGAGAAGGGAATAAGGAAAAAGGGAATCAGGAGAAGGGAATAAGGAAAAAGGGAATCAGGAGAAGAGAAGGGAATAAGGAAAAAGGGAATTGGGAAAAAGGGAATCAGGAGAAGGGAACCAGGAGAAGGGAATAAGGAAAAAGGGAATCAGGAGAAGGGAATCAGAAGAAGGGAATCAGGAGATGCAATGGCCTCCCAAAGCATCCCCAGGTCAGGGATGGGGTGTGGAGCCTGTCTGCCCCCTGTCCTGCTGTGGGTGTGAGGTGCTGGGGTGCCACCAAACCCCACTGCTGGTGATGGAAGGTCCCAGCCTGGTCCTCCTCCGTGCTGGGAGCTCCTGGGAGCTGAGCTTTCACCTCTGCTCTCCCCCCTTAGCCAAACCTAACCCAAACAAGCTGGCCCGAATGGCTGGACCTCTTGGGACCATCCCCGACTGCGGCGTGTCCCTGCCCCGCGGGGCAATTCATCATTCGCCCCCGCGCTGGAAGGCGATAAGGAATCGACAGAGGTTTCCTTCCAGTTTTGGGATTCCCGCTAAGTGCTGTCTCCATGGGTGGTTTCCCTCAATCCCCCAATTATCTCACTTCCTCTTATTGTCACAAAAGACACGACTATCTGCCCTGGAATAAAGCTCTCCCCGGCCCCTCTTGGCCGGCGTGGCCCTCGCCACAGCGCAGGGGACGGGCCAGGGGAGGCGGTGKCTGCAGGGCTGATGGCCCCGCGTTATCTCGCCCATGGCTGGAGTGGCACAAGCAGTTAAGGGCCTTTTATCAAAGCCGCCAAACGCTTTAATCAAAGAGGAGCAGCGTCCTGCCCGATACCGGCGGCTTCTCGGGCGTCCCGGAGCCTCTGCTCCGCTCCCTGCGCCTTTTTCTCTCCCCTCCCCGTGCCTTTGGTAAATGGAAAACAGCCACCAGGGCTTAGAGGAAAAGGAACACAAAGTTAATGGGAACCAGAGAGGCGGCCTGAGCTGCCAAGCAGCTCTTTTTGCTAAGTGAAATTAATTAAAAGGAAAAAAAATAAAATGAAGTCACTGGAGATGAGCAATTCGGTTTGGATAAATCAAAGCGTAATCCAAGGTCTCATGTCACTGAGCATGGCACTTCCTTCCAGCACCAGCAAGGATCTTTGCTGGACGTGGGAATTAATCCAATGTATAATATTCCTCTTTATTTGCTGTTCCAGCCTCATTTCTGAGTTCTCCCTCATAGCTCTCCTGCTTTCTCACATTTCTGCATAACTGCTGTCAAACCCCACCAGCTCAGAAAACCCAAAAGCAAGAGTGTGTTTGCTCCTATTGCCCCTCTGTCTGCTCTCTGCTTTGGGAATCCCATTGTTTGTGCTGGATTATCCACTCCCCAGGCACTGACTCCTCCTCAGGCAGTTTGGGATTTATCCCAAGTGGATTATTTCCTTTCCCAAGGCCGTGGTTAGGGATAAGTGTTCTCAGGGCAGAGGGCAGGGCAGCCGGGTTTGACACCAGCTGCTGTCTGCATCTYCCAGGGTGAATTCCACCAGTTTTCCAAGACTGGCTCCTTCCAGCTTTGACATCTCCCGATGTTTCTCTGCCTCCTTTTTAATCAGGGTCAAGCCTGGGTTTAGGCTCAGTTAGCATCAGATCTGTGTTCCCACAGCCTGGAGGAACCTTATCCAACYTCTGCTTTCCTGGTGACCTAGGACAAGGATTATTCTCTGCGGTTCCAGTGTTGTCCTAGCTGTCAAGGCAAGATGGATTCACRGTGGAGATGTGATATGGGATCACATTAGGGGAGAGCAGCAGGGCTGCCAGGGGCTGTTATCTCCCAAGGCCCCTCTGCTGCAGGGAGGTGAGGCTCTCCTGGCTGAGGAAGGAAGGAAGGACGGACACATCCCAGAGCTCCCAGCCTGCCCATTCCTGGGCACAGCATCGGGAATGACCCCGGGGTGCTGCAATGGGGTCACTGTTCCATCTTTCCTTGTACCTCAGTCCCACTCTGGGATTGCTGATGGCATATGGCAGATTCCCTGGACCTGAGAGAATGGACTGACTCCAATCCTGCATCTTACCAAGGAGTGGCCTCAGTTCTTGATGGAGATTTTTAGGCTGAAACAAACAGCTCTTGGAGCTTTGTCTTTTTTTCTGGTTGTTTTCCACCTCTCCCATTGTTGTGTTTGGAGAAACCCAAAAGGTCTCACCAGCARGCAGCTGGGTTTGTGTCTCTCATTCAGCCCCACATCCCAGTTAGGACACTGGGGCTTGTTTTCCCTTGTATTATCCTGTTTCTCAGACATCCTGTGGACTAAAGTCATCCTGCTAAACCTCTGCTCCCTCCCAGCCTTTCACAATCCCAACCACTTGGCAGATTTYGGGGATGCCTGCGATGCTGAACAGGAGGCAACTGGAACAGCCTCTCCCTGGGGAGGTTATAAAAGTTGTCACGKTGGCTCTTTGAGGGAGAAGAGGGATGTGGCAGAATCCACCGGCTCCAACCAGCGAGGACCAGGTCCTTGAGCCCTCTAACATGGCCATAACACTGAGAAGGATTTATCTCCTCTCCTTCCTGCTCTGCTGAGCTCGGTGCAGGTACAGGGATGCCTTTCCACCTTCTCCTCAGGARCAGGCACCTCTTTGTTGACTGAATTGACTTCTCCCACCTCCCACCCAGCTTTGTTTTCCCACCCCAAGGATCTGTAGGACAAAATTCAGTCATGGGATGTCTCCTTGAAGGATGGGGTGCTCATCCTGCCGATGTCTGGAGATGCAGTGGGTTGGCTGTGGTTCAGCTGCAGGATTTTGAAGGGTTGGCTGTGGGACCCTCAGGGTGAGGAAGGGATTCCTGCATGGTGAGGAGCTGTTCAGGGGGCTGAGGTGCACCCAGCCTTTGCCACGTTGTGGTGGCATTGTGGTGGYAGCAGCTTCATGTTCTTAAAAAGGAAAGGCTGAGGGAGCTGGGCCAGTCTTGACTGGGAGGGGACCCCAGCACTGTCAGGGAGGGGCCAGAGGAGATGCCAGGCTCTGCTCCACCAGTCCCAGCAATGAGAAAACGGGCAGGAATGGATCCCCACGAAATTCCACCTGAACATGAGCAAGAACTTCACTGTGCAGTGACTGAGCATGGGCCAGGTTACCCAGGAATGCTGWGGAGTCTCCTCAGTGGAGATATTCYAGAATTTTCTGKACACAGTCCTGTGCCATGTGCTCTGGGATGGCACTGCTGGARCAGGGATAACCCAGTGTGGTCCCTTCCAGCCTGACCCATCCTGTGATCCCACTCTCCCATCAGAGRTGCCCCCTGTGCCTCTGCAGGTGGCAATTGCTGCCTCTGGAACAGATTCCAGCTTTTGGGGTTGGATTTTCCCTGCCCCACAGCCCTTTATGTTGTGTTCCCCTAAAACCCAACACAGCCATATCACAAACAGTGGGATAACTGGAAGGACTGGTGCTTCTTAGGCTCCACATCCTAGGATTTAGGACTTATCTGCCCTTTGGAGAGGTTCATTTTGATTGAATCCATCTTGTTCTTTTCTTCTTGGACAACCTTTGTCACTCTTTGGACAGCCTTTGTCACCCTGGTGTCAGCTCTTCAGACTGGTGCCAGATCCATGCTGGAATCCAGACTGGATAAAACAACAGTCAGTGATAATCACCCATTGTGTCTCTGTCACAAAGTCGGGATGAGCCTCCTGTAATGCCCTGGAATTGTGGGTGAGCTCTGGAAACCAAACCCACTCTTCATTGTRTTCCATCCCRGRGAGCTGAGTGTCAGGAATGRGAAARGAGCTCTCCTGATTTACACCAGGGGGACAGGAGGGCCCAGTGCACCCTGAATTCCAGAGCCTTTCYGWGTTTGCAWTTCATTCTACACAGCCCTAATCTTGGAATTGGGGAAATTCCATTTWAAAAGCCATTTGTGTGGTATTTACAAGCCAGCTGGAAGTAGTAAATACCGGAAATCTTGGAAAYGCTCTCGCTCCTTCATTAGATAGATCATCAAATTCCTTGTGAGGAAGCCAGTTTCCACCCCATTCTTCAGGCTCCGTTTTCCTTGGATTTGCTTCGGAGCAGCTTCTGCCGGGTGCTGGCAGCTTCCCCYGCTTGGCAGAGCCTCCTGCTTTTGGCTTGTGCAGGATCAAGGGGCTGGTCCTGAGAGCTGATCACCAGCCTTGGCTCCCAGGAATAGCAACAACCATGGAGGATGGACAGGATATATGGCAGGATGGGCAGGATGACTCTCAGGATGGGCAGGATATATCCCAGGATGGGCAGGATATATCCCAGGATGGGCAGGATAACTCCCAGTATGGCCAGGGTAACTCTCAGGTTGACAAGGATAACTTTCTGGATGGCCAACATAACTCTCAGGATGGGCAGGATGACTCTGAGGATGTCCAGGATAACTCCCAGGATGGGCAGGATAACTCTCAGGGTGGCCAGGGTAACTCTCAGGATGGCCAGGACATCTCCCAGGATTACAGGGTAACTCAGGATGGCAAGGATAACTCCCAGGATGACCAGGATAACTCTCAGGATGGCAAGGATAACTCCCAGGATGGCCAGGGTAACTCTCAGGATGGCAGGGATAACTCTGAGGATGGCCAGGGTAACTCTCAGGATGGCCAGGACAGCTCTCAGGATGGCCAGGGAAACTCTCAGGATGGCCAGGACATCTCCCAGGATTACAGGGTAACTGAGGATGGCAAGGATAACTCCCAGGATGACCAGGGTAACTCTCAGGATGGCCAGGACAGCTCTCAGGATGGGCATGATAACTCTCAGGATGGCCAGGAAATGTCCCAGGATAGCCAGGACATCTCCCAGAACGGCCAACAACTCCCCCAAGGGCTCAGTGGCACCTGGAAAAGGGCAAGGAGCTGCTATCAAGGAACCAAACTCAAGAACCCACCCCTCTGTACTGCTTTCAGTGAAGTTAAGGAGCTAACAGGACCTTTAGGGTCAGGATTATGGCCTTGGAATGGGGTCCAAGCTCCAGAGCCCRTGAGGATGAGTTTAAACTGCAGCCTTTGGCAATGCTGAGAGAGATCTGTTTGTTTTGTGTTCCTTTTGGCATTGAAGGTGTCCCCTTCCCACCCCTAAATTTGCTCCATCTCCCCTGGGGTTAGGGCAGGCTGGGATCATTTGTTAGTGCCCACGTCCTGTTTGGAGATGGAACAAGATCCTTACACATCTCAAAATCCCTTTCTGCATAAAACATCAGCAAGCCTGGCTCTAGAGGGACCAGCACAGTGATCCTGAGAGCTTAGAGAAGGCACCTATGGGGTTTGATCCTGAGATCCTACAGAAGGCACGTGTGGGGTTTGATACTGATATCTTACAGAAGGCATCTATGGGGTTTCATCCTGAGATTCTACAGAAGGCACCTATGGGGTTTGATACTGAGATCTTACAGAGGCACCTATGGGGTTTGATCCTGAGATCCTACAGAGGGCACCTATGGGATTTTATCCTGAGATCCTACAGAAGGACAGAGGGCACTTTCTATGGAGTTTGATCCTGAGATCTTACAGAAAGACAGAGGGCACCTATGGGGTTTGCAGTGAAATCCTGGCTGGTTTTGTTTTTGCCTCTTGACCTGTGACGGATTCTGGAAGCAGTTCCATGGCACTGCAGCTCTGCCTGGCTGGGCAGTGGCAGGCAGCAAAAAGTCTGGGCTAAATGGAAAAATCAGCAAGCTCAGGTCGTGAGTCAGGCAGCTCCACACAGCAGGAAAACAGAGTTTGACTGGTTTGTGTTGTAGATTAAAAAAAATCAAAATAAAATAAACAGTCAAACCCCAAGCCAATGATTTCTGGGGCCAGCAGAGCGATGCGGTTTGATGCTGAAAACTTTATTAGCAGAACAATGCTGCATTTTACAAGACATTGTTTTTCCACCCCAGTGTTCTTATTACCCAGCGGTGGGTTAGGAATCCCAAATTTTTACACCATGAGAGCTCCAGCTCAGGCTGTTCTTCCAGATGTCCCTCCTGTCATGGAGCTGGGATCAGGGAGGGGTTTGTGCTTTCAGGGGACTCCCTCCTCTCCACAGCTCCTACAAAAACTGGACCTGGGCAGCATTGAGGAGGGTGACACATTCCTACATCTCCCCACTTCTTGTTCCAGCTGTTTTAAAAAATGGCATGGAATTGTTTATTTTATTATTTTGTTKTTGTTTATTATTTATGATCCTTGTTTATCCCATCCTGCTGCCCACCCCAATTTACAGCGAAGGCAGAAGAGGAAGAGGAGTTGATTATCAGAGCTCAGAGCCAGGCTCTGATGCTGTTAGGAAGAAAGAATGGAATGGGATTATGCCTTTCCAACTGAATTTATGTTTTCACAAAACCAAAGGCCACTCTGRGGGATGTCCCTGTGCTGTGTCCCTCAGTACCTRCTGTTTGTGGGATTGTTGGATGAGCATCAGCACTTYCAGCTGGACTTGGAAGACCCCTGGRTGGGAAAACCGGGATATTTTTCYATGYAGAGAGGGTGTAGCTTGCAGGAGAGCCCTCACGCTTATTCAGAGCATTAAGGTGTTTTAGAAGAGCWTTAAGGTGTTTTAGAAGAGCTTTAAGGTGTTTTAGAAGAAACAAAAGATGCCTGCACTCCCCACCTGCACCTCCTGGAGGAGGGACATGATCATTCTCCCTGGAACAGCCCGGCAGCAGCACCTGTGCCTCGTGTGGGGCAGCTCTCAATCCTCCTCTCCCTGAAACTGGAGGGTTTTTTTAAATCAACTTTGTATTTCGGGGGTGAAAAAAATTACACCTCAAAACATGTAGGGTTGAGAAAAATTGTTAAGGGTAAATTTTTTTCAAATTTCTTCCAAATCTGACCCCTGGAGGGCTCTAACCGAGTGGGATGTTGTCTTGCCCGCACAGAAATCTTGTTTTTGAAGCAGCAGCAAAGTTAATCCTTGTCAGAACAAGCTCCCCTTCCCTTGCCACGCTGTCCTTAAAATCTCTCRGTGAAGCGCTCATCCCTGGGAATTTTGCCATCCATTCCAGCAGAGCTGGATTTCATTTGATGACCCTGCAAATGAATAAATAAGTGCACATTCATGTATTCATTTGCCTTCTCCCTGGAGATTTCACCTAAATTGTTGATCTCCTTCCGTCTGCCGGCTTGGGATGCTGCAGGAAACAAAGGGCTCTGCAAGATGTGCCTTGTTGTTTCTAGCTGTGAAATTTACTTTTCTCCTTTGTTCCCCTTGGCTCCAGCACRCAGCTCTGGGTGAATTTATGTGCCCATAACCCTGGGTGGATTTATGTGCCCAGCTGCCTTGGCACAGGCATCTCCAAATCTGATTGTCCCCACTGCACCATGGCTGGCTCTCTCCTGGGAGGGTTTTTATTGCGATTTCAGTTTTTGCCTCTTTTTATGGCAGAAAGGAGTCATCATAAAGGATTTGAGTTGGCAGCAGCAGCTCTGATCCTCCTGGCTGGCAGTGGGGTGTCCTCTTAGGTCATAGGCAGATGCAATTCCTCAGGTGAAAGAGGCAGCAGGACGGAGATGGGGGAAGAAGCAGGAAGAGTGAGCAGGGGATAGAACCAAGCAGGATAAACCTCAGAACCCCTCCAACCTCCTGATTTCCCTCCCAGAGCTCCTGGCTGATCCCTTCCCCACTCCAGCAGAGAGGGCCATGCACAAGGCTTGTTTTCCACAGGGTAGACTGAGATAAATTCCAAGGAATTCCAAGGAAACACTGGGGATTTGCTCCGAGATAACGCCAGCAATGATGTTTGGAGATGCAATGGGTTGGCCGAGGTTCAGCTGCAGCTGGAGGGGTTGGGATACTCAGTATGAGGAAGGGACTCCCTGCAGGGTGAAGGGTTGCTCAGGGGTCTCGGGTGTGCCCAGTTTTTGTCACATTGTTGTGGCACAGTTGTGGCGAGCAGGATGAGCGCGGGCAGCGACGTTCAGCCGTGGGTCCATCCTCCTTGGCACCTACCAGGCCTTTTCTCTCCCAACAGACGAGGACTGTCCCTCCACCGAGCACCCCTACAAGAAACCCTACATGGAAACATCGCCAGCAGACGAGGACCCTTTCTACAGGCCCAGCTACCCTCAGCAGCAGCAGCAGCAGCCRCAGCAGCCGCAGCCAGGCCTGGGWGCAGCCTACAGGACTGAGTCGGCKCAGCGCCAGGCCTGCATGTACGCCAGTGCTGCAGCACCCGCCGAGCCCGTGCCAGGCCTGGAGGACATGAGCTGTAACGCCTGGCCCGCCGTGCCCCCCTACAGCAGCTGCACCGTGCCCGCCATGCAGCCCATGGACAGGTTACCCTACCAGCATTTCTCGGCCCACTTCGCCTCGGGCCCGCTGGTGCCGCGCCTGGGCAGCGTGGCCAACCACACGTCGCCCCAAATCGGCGACACCCACGGCATGTTCCAGCACCAAAGCTCCCACCAGCCCATCGTGCGGCAGTGTGGACCTCAAACGGGCATCCAGTCCCCTCCCAGCAGCCTGCAGCCGGCAGAGTTCCTCTACTCGCACGGCGTGCCCCGAACCCTGTCGCCACACCAGTACCACTCGGTGCACGGCGTGGGCATGGTGCCAGAGTGGAGTGAGAACAGCTAACCGGCCAGCACCACGGGATAACCCGGCAAACGGGACAAGGAAAAGGAAAAGGACCCCCCCATGGCTGATAACAAAGCGTTTTGTGAGACTCCTGGAAGGGAATGTTCACCCGCGGCRCTCGGACTGAAACCACGGCCTCGGTGGGACTCGCCCCGACCCCTCTTTGGTTTTCTTTGGTTTCAAAAGCAAAGCCCAGAGCCCGGCACACTTCTCCCCCTCCACGGTCCCCTCCAGTTTGTGTTGCTGCCACCACCCTCATTCCCCCCCTGCCCTCCTGCTCTTTTTGTTCTCCAAGGGACACCAAACTCCTGCTGCCTTTCTCACCATGGTCAGAATGCTTGAACGAGAACAATTAGGATGTTTCTTTTTTTTTTTTTTGTGGTGTTGATGTTGACGATGCTATATAATAAATAATAATATATATTTTTTTTCTTTCCATTTTCTCAGAAAAAATTAGAAAGAAAAAGACACCAGCCCCTTTTACTAAGAGTGGATTTTGGAGTGGTGTTTCTTTTTTTTTTTTTTTTAAATTGGTGTTATCTTTGTTACTCTTCAACACAAAGAGGTACTGAGAACCCCCAAATAAATAAATCCAGTACCTGCCTGGCCCAGGCATTGCACCAAGAGTGAAATTGCTCCCACAGGGAGCTGTTTCCCTACAAATTCCCCAAAATTCTCTGCAGGAACCATCCCCTAAACCATCCCCTCATCTCCTTTCCCACTTGTCATTCTCTCATTCCTCTTCCCTTCCCATTTCCTGCTCTTTCCTGGTCCCTCAGCTGTCTCTGACGGAAGTGTGGGGTTATTTCCAAGCCTGCAAACATCCCCAGCTTGACTCCTGCTGGATTTTTAGCGGCGTGTGGAAAGCYAGGCTCTGAGCCAGCTGGAGAGGGGGGAGAGGATGCAGCACTGAGAGGAAAAAGTTTGCTCGTAAAAATGACGATGAGGTTTGTTTGCAATCCTGGGCTTTTATTTTCTCCTCTCCAGAAGCAAAAGAAAAAAAATAAAAAAGGTATCAGTGTGGATATGTGAAGTGAGCTGTTCAATAAATGTGTTTAAAAGGGGCAGAAAATGATCATGAGAGGCTGGGAGTGGTGGAGGCAAAAAGAGAAGGAAAAGAAAAAAGTCGTGCAAGGAAAAATGTCTACTGCAGAACCTTTCAGGTGTAAAATTTCCTGGTCCTATTTATTTATACGTGGGAGTTCCAATAACTCCCAGGATGTCACAAAAGCAGCTGATTCCAAGAGGTTCAAAGTTTTATTGAAATGGAAGTTTGCTTTCTTTTCTTCTTTTTTTTTTTTTTTTCTCTCCAAGCTGTGCACACTCTATATAATTTACATATATTTTTAATTAAAAGTAATTCTAATGAACCAAAGAGGTATACCTGCGTGTGAGCCGCTGGGAATGGGGGTGGGAATGTGTGGGAATGATGATTTGGGAGGGAATATCGACAGGTATCCCGAGCCGTGGGGCCAAGGAGAAAAAATAATCCCTACCTAGCTACAATATCCCATTTTTGTGCCAATTTATGGCTGATAAATCCCACACAATCTCCACGGCAAGGGAGTGCTTCTGCTTTTCCCCAAGTAGTCCAAAACAACACAAGGAGCTGTCAATCTCTGAGATTTTGTGCTCTGAAGAGMCTTTGATTTCTTTGATTTCTTTTCTTATGGATTTATTTCTTAGCCAAGAATAATAATGCTGATGATAACAATAAACAGCAAAATTAGGGGGAAAATTACATTTGTCAGTGGAAAAATCAGATAAAAGAAAATTCTCCCTGTTGGGAGTTAAACTGGCAATTGTTCCCTGGGAGGGTGGGCAGGCCCTGGCACAGGGTGCCCAGWGAAGCTGTGGCTGCYCCTGGATCCCTGRCAGTGCCCAAGGCCAGGCTGGACATTGGGGCTGGGAGCAGCCTGGGACAGTGRGAGGTGTCCCTGCCATGGCAGGGGTGGCAYTGGATGSGTTTAAKGTCCCTTCAACCCAAACCATTCCACAATTCCCTAACAAGAGGCCATGAAACTCGAGGAAAACCATCCCAAACCCATCCTYGGGTGGTTTTCATAAACCCCACTGAGGGTGCTGGGGGTGGGAGGATTTTGATGCCCTGAGAGGCACAGAGAGCTCTTTGTCTGCCCCATCACTCGCTCCAATTTCAAATCTCACCAGCCATGATTCCAGCTGCGTTTGGGAGGTGACTTTTCCCCACCAGCAGCCCCCAAAMCTACACTGGGGAAGTTTTTCCTACAGCCAGGGACGCTTAGAAGGGACAAAGTCACCCCTGAGCTGCTCACGCTGCTCCCAGGACAGAGCCAACCTCCCAGAATTTTCTGTTGTGCCTCGAAGGCTGAGGGGRAAAAAAAATTATCCTAAAGCCTCAGGATTCTTGTCCATAAATCCAGCCCACAATACCATAGATTTAACAGCGCTGCCAACTCTGACAATTTTATGATGGGTCTCATGTGATTTGCAAAAGTGTGGTTGAAGTTTTTTCTCTTCAAATTTCSAGTTCCTGGAGACCAGTGAATATATGAGGCTCTCAAAGGATTTGGACTCTTTTGCCCACTGCCCTGTTTTTGATTTTTTGTTTGATTTTAGAATATTCTGTAAAGCTGGCAATTGTACTGGAGACAAAAGTGAGGCAGAAAAAAACAGATGGCTTGTGGAGGTGAGACTAGAACTCATCACAGGGCAAAAATTATTTTGTTTTGGTTTTTTTTTTAATTTGTTTATTTGCTTGGTTTTTTATTTTTCTCTGGGAAAGTGAATGCCTTTTCTTTTTTTTTTTTTTCTTTGAATAATAAAAAAGTCCAAGTTTGAAGTGAATAGCAAAACTTTAGAGAGTGGCTTGAATAAATTCCCACCCCCAAAGAGGAGCAATACTTTGTTCCTATGTGGTTTTAGTCCTTCGAAATTTCAAAGGAAATTTTTAAAGCTGAAGTCATTTCAGAAGGACGCGTTTCACTTGGAACCCATCACACCCAGTGGCTCCAAAATCTCCTACTTCCCTTTTTTTTGGCTGAAACAAATCCTTCAGCCTCAGTGCACGGTTCTGATTGTGGGGTTTGGAGGTTTTGTCCTGCACATGCGAGGACTCAGCTACGGAAAAGATTAAAAATGTTCACGAGACAAATAAAAGTGAGAAATAAAGGTTTAAACAGCTTCCACAGTCCCTCAGAAGGGCTGGCTGAGCATCCTGGCTCACACTTCTCCTGGGAACACTTGGGAAAAGCTCCTGAGTGCCCATCAGCCATCTGAGGGCTCTGCAGGTGCCTGCATTAGCCAGCAGCAGCTGGAGACAATCCCAWAACTTCCCATTTGCACCTGGATGAACCCTCCCACTTGGGGATCAGCCATCCCCTTTAGAGATTTTCCATTTTTTTCAGGATCCATCTGAGCAGCAGCTCTGCTTTCCAGTGTGTTCCTCCCTGAACGTGGTGTCCCATCCCATCATCCCAGTATTTAACAGGTGTAATTATTCCAAACCTTTGTGCCACACTGATCCTTGAGGGTTGCTCCTTGTAGCCAACCTCCACCTGGAATTTTGGCTGCTGAAAATCCCCCTTGGCATCGGATGGCCCAGACAATTTCCCACCCACTCTGGTGTCTGTTTTCGCAGTCCCTACCTCATTAATTCGGATTTGGAGTCCACTGTCAAAGGCAGGTCCTGATGTTCCTCACAAACACTGGGCAGTGCCCCAACATTTCCCATCTCTGGGGTGTCCCTGTGCAACTTCTTCATCAGAGATTTTAATTAGAAAAAACGAACACCCAGGATGGCTTTTGTGSGGCACAAACCTGGGGACAGCAAACCCGGCTGAACCTGGTTGGAAAGCTGAGCAGAAGGATGAGTTTGGGGCTGTTCCAAGAGGGAAGGAGTGGCAATTCCAGGCTTGGAGAGCTTTTAATTGAAGGCAGGGATGGTCTGTGATTTTGGGATAGTCTGGAGGTGCTCAGGGGGTCAGGAGAAGTGAGGGTGGCTCTGCACTGACACTTTGCCAGCCTGGCTGAGTGACAGGCACCAATATTGACATTGGGGGGTGATGTCAAGCCCAGCCTGGCAGTGACTGCAGGGAGCAAATAAAAACTCTATTTTGGGACATTTCCAAGTGTCCTGAGCTGGGGCTGTGGAGCAAAGCAGGGAGGCAGCACCACCTCGTAACTGCAGCTTGGGGCAACCTCGCACYGCTGGGTGAGCTTGGAAACCTCCAGAAACCCTTGGCAAAGGAAATTCAACACCACTGTTGGCTCAGTGTGGGTGCTGGTGCTTTTTGGGTGTTTAACCAGCACCAAACTCTGCTTTTAGTCTCGTATGACATAATTTCTCACCTCACAAAAGAGCAGTTGTTTCCCCTCCGTTTTTAACCAAGTCATCTGAAACAATAAAGAATATTTTTATGTAAAAYATCTCCTAGAAGAGGAAGCATCAGACATGCCCAATTTTTGGCATTAAATATTGCAGCTGTCCATCCCAGCATCCCAAAAGTTCCTCAGCTGTAAATAGTATTTAAAGAAGAGATGAAACTTGGGAAAGCCAGGAATCAAAAGGGTCAACTCCTTCCTGGTTATGTCATAGCAAATTAATAATAATAATAATAATAATAATAATAATAATAATAATAATAATAATAATAATAATAATGATCTCAAGTATTTCCCCTCTGTCTTCTCCCAGACACTGTGGTTCAGGCTGTGGCAGTCCCTGAAGGTTCTGACCCATAAGGAAGGGAGCTCTGGGTCTGAGCAGAATTATCGACCGTCCCAGGGCATTCCTGAGCCTGACAGGGGATTATTTTCCAAGTTGCTTTGCTTGGATTTTAATTCTGTTGACACAGCTGTTAATGAAGTACAGGAAAGTGAGATGTCATTTCTCACCTGGTTGAGGCAGATTTTAGGGGTTTTTTTTAAACTTTATCAGATATTGATGGATGGGGAAGACCCCCTTGGATC